ATTATGTTGTTTAAGCTGATACTTAGTTATGTCGACAGTCATATTGATTTGTTTCTCTGTTGGTTGGATCGAATACACTGATTGGAAGTGTTCATTTTGATTGTAAATTGAAGTACTCTTCCAGAATTGGAAACATTCTGTTTTATCATTGAAGGAATAACTAAGTGGTAATATTATTGTTTAGGTAATGATGTAAATTTATATTTATGATGAATATTAGAACCGTTACTTACCCAAATCAATTGTTTTGGATATAAACTGTACAAGACGAGTATCTAAATTACCTGTACAGTTAGTTATTCCTCAATCCAAACCTCAGTTCGGATTCTACAGTAACTACATTTTAATTTATTGTGCTTTGCATGCAGTTATTAAAGTTTACTTACAGTTAGAAATATATGAAATATATTTAGCATGTAAATGATTTAATTAACTCTTAAACATAACTTAGTTTAATTGGCTAATTTGTAATGTACATATACTCGCAAATTGAATTATACTTGCTTATTAAAAAGCTGCTACTGAAGTCATTTCATATCTTATACTCTTTATTTATTTCCACTTCTATATAATTAATTCACTGGTAGATAACTAACCTTTTATTACATTTTTTGTAAATCTCATGTCGTATTGTGGTGTGTGCTACTTATACGAACGATATAAGTAGTATAAGAAGGGACGTGAAAGAAGAAGTCTCACGGTCAGAAGAGGAAAACGGAAAGCAAATGGAGCAAAAGCAAGAAGTAAATGGAGTACCAACAGGAAGGAAAGGAAGCAACAACAGGAATGGAGGAAGGCTGGAGCGTTGGAAGTCAGGACTCAAAGATGGGGTACAAATAGAGTGTTCAATGTAATGTTTTCGTTTTTAATTGACTCAGAATGTAAATTTGCATAATACAATCTTCCGCGCCTGCCTCAGCCTTCTCAGTCTTCTTAGTATGACTAAAACTACTTGGTTAGTATAGAGAGAGCTATTCAACTAATACTGTGACTATGTATTAATGTGAAGCAGCTGAAGAAAATAAATTATTCGATACACCAGTGAAACTATTTCCAGTAAATAGTTTTTGAAAAATATGATTTTCAAATTATTAAAATCATAAAAAAAATTCCATATCCAATCAAAACGAAATGATTTGCATGAAATTCGACCAATCAAATCTTACATTGTCATTATTTATTACCAATTAAATAATTCTTTTAATTGAAAAATACGTTTACCCATGGATAAACTGAGAACATTTCACATGAACATATAAAACCTATCAGAACTTCATTAAAACCTATGTTCATACTCATAAAATTTATCCTTAGGGCTACCGAGAAAAAACTCAGTTGAATTAACGTCAACCCTTGGAGTAGGAGCATCTTCTAGCTGTTCAAAATAGACATACGGGATCACATGATTGAGGTATTCATAATAACAATTCGTTACCAGATTCAAAAGAAAAAAAATCACAGTATTTATTGGAAGTTGACTCTTCATTCGATTTTTTAGAAATTTACGTTTTTAATTGGTTATGCGGTAAACAGACTGTTAGGATATTCATCCAATATCCTAAGAGAGAATTATTTGTAAGTTTAATTCTATTGGTCGATTCCTGTTGGTCGTTCTAACTATCAATGTCACAGACTTCAATGTTGTTTCCTATTCGACCCAATGGTATAAATATGCATTATCTGTAATATTTTATGACCCGGATCCTTAGCCTCTTCTGGACTCGGACCTCGTACTTTCTGGATGTTTGTAGAATACATGTTCTACTTCATATCAAGTCTTCTTCTACTCAGTGGGGTTTGGGACGCTCGGATTAGAGTAGTTTGCCGTGTCGCCGAATCATCGATCCTCGCTCTCGTTTTCCAACTAAGGTGATCTCGTAATAGTTCAAGCTTATCAATTTGACATGTTTACGTGGATGCGTAACAGAGACAGAAGGAGAATTGAACATATCTTACTTATTATCCTCGCTTTTAATAATCACCTCCATTAACATGTGCCTTTTTGATGACCACACTTTTGTATTCAATTTTTATAACTTTTCAAACACTAGATAGATATGTGACTTACAATGTAGTTCTAAATGCCCATTTTGTTCTATCTGAAACTCATCCTCTTAGGTGGATGCATTATAGTGTTGATGTTCATACTGCGACTTGAACCCAGTGTACCTATCATGTCAAACGACAAGAGTACAAACCACTGAGCTATTGTGTTCAACTATCTACTGACTTATGCTACAGGTTTGATATTTCAGTAATTACTAAAAAGAATTTGAATTATATTTCTATATTTATTGATGATCTCGACTAATGTCTGAAATGATAAGGTTCTTTATTCAAGTACAGTGTAAATATCTATACACGGATACATGGATATACATCCAGTGGAACCTAAACTAGATTAAAGCATGATTGTGTTATTGCACGCTGATTGGCTCTTTCGTATCCAATCAGCGTTAGTCGATACTGAGGGAACATTCTAGAATGTTCTCATGTAAGAAAACTATAAACATACTAACATCTTTTTCTTGTGGACCTTCTGTCTTCCTTCTAACCTTGTTATCGGAATATAATCTCTATTTCCTGTTCAACTGTGTTCTGATTTGGCAGAACGTCTCGAATGAACTGGTGTCCGAGAATACTAAGCTTTAGGAATAGCTAGGTTGTAATAAAAAAGAGAATTATAACAAGTAATTAAGTGATAATAACAAACGAACGACAGAAAAAAAAACAAATTAGTAACTGCAAAGTCATCAGGGTGTAGTTATTCTAGTTTCACATCCAATCTAAGGTATTATACAAATTAATCTATTGTCTTCGGTGGGTATCTGCCTAAATATTTCATAAATGGTCTATGAATGATGCAACGTATTGTTGAAACTTTAAATATTTTGTCTAACAGTGTGACCACAAGTGAATCTTTGAACAATTTAATTTGGAGAAAGCTAAACGTGAAAATCTGTTTTTCTCTCTTTAAGAAAACATTTATCAACTTCAACTAAACAATATATAACATGTAATAATAATAATAATAATAATAATAATAACAATAATAAAACTGCATATTTAACTATAGAAAACAAGCTAACATTTCAGTGAATATTCATGAAGCTCAGATCAGATTACAAGATGAAAAGTTGGAATTAGTTGAGCTTCAATTGTTTGGAATATCACAAACATAACTTGACAATCATCATTATTACTTCACGAATTTCAAAAACCATTCTTCATACTATATACCTCTACAAACTTCAGTGAGAAAAATCCTAGTTGAATTAATCTCTCTATTATTTACCAATTAGTTGTATTCATATTATTCGTTCATGTATATATAAAAATAAGGGCTTGAAATTAATGTCTATTTGTCTATCTGATAACGTGACACTCATCATTTGGCTGATTATTTTGTTGTCAAAGATTTATTTGTGTTACCTACTACAATTCAGTAGTATTCATTATTTGAAAAAAATCAATAATCGGAGATGGTTTGTAAAATGTTGTGAAAGCTCTTTATGATATATCCAGTGGGCTAAGATGTTCAATAATTTTGAAAAGTGATGAGGTTTGTTGACTTTGTGAGTGCTTTGATTTCACGAACACAAAAGAGGTAGATTTCAACTATTAGAGATTGGGATGCATAGTTGATGTTGGCGTCTTTTTAGCAAGGCTCTTGTTTAGAGGCTGGAATCGCTAACTCCAACACACAACCATCCTGCTTCAACCAGCTTTGTGACTGGTAGTAACCTTGTTAAGGTCTCAAAGTGGATTTCTATGTTATAGTATTCTCAATAAATTCAATTATCAATGAGGTGAAATCGACGATAGCTAATTCGTTTATTGGCGAACCGTAAATCTTGTGAGTTATGTCAAAAACTGTGAAACTATTCCACGACAATTCGAATCCTTAAGTTTCTGCAAAAGTTGCTTTATCCAGTTTTTCCTACGGTATCAGGAGAGATGCTTGGTTTAGACTGGTGCATCTTGTGATCTAGAATCTCCTGATATGTTGAAGTTATCACTTGTTTATTTCCTTTCAAGTTGTTTTCCTCGTTAGTTCCCTCCTCTTCTAGTTTGGCCACTTGCTCAGTGGTTCTTTAGATTCGCTTTCATCTTGGCCACAATGAGGTAGTGATTCGAAGAGTTATCAGCTATTCTCTATGTTATTAAATCTTCCACGAACCTTCCGAACATGTTTTTGACGCAGATATCATCGATCAGATTGCCTGCAGTATGGTCTGGTAAATCCATAAACATTTGGGTATGCACTGTAAGTGAGGTAATTGATGCCACCTTGAAACATGTTATTGAATGCACATTGATATACCAATCTCCTAACGTTTTTCATGCTCATATTCGGTGTTGTCCTTTCCAACCTTGTCATTTCGGTCTCTTATCAACATGATCTGTTCCATTCCCACACATCTTCCTGCGATTGACTATAGCATCTCTCATAAAAAACCGATATTTCTCATCTTCGTTTGCAGTCATTGGTCACAGCGAGAGCTACACTAGATTACTTCTACAGCTTAGATATATGAATGAATCATTTGAAAAACACAATCATCTCGTTACTGCTAAACGTTGTGCATATTTTTTTGTTTATTTGAAAGAAAAAAACAAAATTTTTAATGACTGGTATTAAAACCACTAATTATGACTTCTACATACGTAGCTTCATACCATTCATTAATCAGCAGTAAATCTTGTTGTCAGTTAACATTAATAATAATAATGATAATGATAATAATATTATTCACTAGAACAGGTAACTTATTAGTTATTCACTCAAATAAACTTTTACACTTTCCAAGTAAACAAATCTAATAGAATAATAATTTTAAAATATTTCAATACCCGAATGATAATAACAAAAATATTAGTGAAAAAATTTGTTTTATTTTGCCAATGAAAATCTTCCGATTACACTCAATAACAAGGTCATTTCATAATTCATGTAGTGAATAACCAATTTTTCTCTGGTTAAATGTTGTTCATTTTAGTCAATACACTGGTGACCGCGCTTAATCAAATAAAAATCAATTAGTTGTCTGTTTCACGTTAAACATACTCATTCTGTTTAAGTCAACTTGATAAACAGATTTGGATTACTTTTAAATCACTCTGAGAGGAACGATCTTCAACATCCTTATACAGCTTATTGAAACAAATCCTGTACACGATATTAGAGAATGGCTCATTTTGGATATCTACAAAAACACGTTGAAGAATATTCTGACTTATCGTCATGCAGCTCATCAGCAACGTCAAACATAAGTGACTATACTGGAGAAGAAAGAAATGAAACTATATGGAGTGGGCTAGCTGGACAATCAGGAGCAAATCTTACTAACATGTCCTGCTGCACTTCATCTGATCAATCTCTTGATCAACGTTCAAACAATCCAACTGCTTCATTTCCAACTCAATCAGGTTATACAAATCATGGAAATCATGGAAATACTACTCACACTGCACCATATTTACCAGGTACAGCTGCCTATCAAGTGGATTATACAAGTCAAATGCCGAATTCTTATATTCCTGGCAATCCTGGTTTGCAACATACACAAACAAATTATGGTAATCCAACTGTACCAGCATCAGGTGGATTTTCGTTTGATAGAAGTGATTCAATGAGCACAAGTCAACAATCCATATTTCTAATGTTTAACGATTTTCCTACTCTTATCTCATCTCAGTTGAATGAGTTTTCTGGCACAAGAACAGTATTCGGTTATGCTGAATCAGTTCCACACGAAGATATAGTATGTTGTTCACTTTTTTACTTGTTCGTATTTGAATGATAGATTTTGTTGTTTGAATAATTTTGAAGTGATTTTCATCGGTAGTTTTATGAATTAGTGATTTACATAATTTTCAAGTTTCAATGATAAATTTACTTGAACAGAGTGATGTTTAGGTAACAAATACTGTCAGTCGTTTTTCTGATGGTTTGTTAGACCGTGAATCGTAAAAGTTGGATTTGATGATTTCCCTTATGTTCTAATTTGTTAAGAATTCTTGTAAGTAAATGATTTGATCGAATGATCGGGTGGGTGACTTGGATAACTTGAAAATATAATAAGCATCACTGTGTGAAATAATTGCAAGTAAACTGAATAGAGGTTAAATAATGCATTACTCCTACTTGTTCAGGTGAGATTTTATTGATTTGAAATACTTAACTTTCGTTGCCAGTAAACATTTTACTTAGAATAACCTAAACAGATTTGATAATTCTTGTAGTAAATTATTATTGCATGACCAGTAAATCTGTGCAACACATGTAGTGTTGCTCAAATCCTACTTATTTAACGGTTCACAGTGTAACATGAATTTATAGATGAGATTCCTGTTGAATATGATCATCACATAGTGAGATCGATCAATCAACTGAAATCATTTGAATCAACTTGATTGAATATTTTGTGGCATCGAAAATGTTACTAATTAAGATATACGAATTAGTTTGAGTCATCATCACCTTAAGTATGTAACATATATTCGATAAACACTAAGCAATCATGTACAGAATTTCACTGGAAAACCGTTGTACATTCTCTGTTGCATTGGTGGCAAAATTGATCTCGGTTGGGATACCACTGAAAAAAAGCGGAGGATTGAAAAGTTATTTCATACAAATTTGAGATTCTTCAACAGTATCAACAGCCATCAATCCTCCACGGTTTCAGTGCTAACCCAACGGATACAACTCACAAACTAAATCAATCTCCTAATTCTTCTCTTTACTTACCTGTGAAAAATTCAATCACTGGATGTTAGGGTGAACCTACATCAAGACCTAAACAGAATTTCTGTGTTGAATATGACTGTGACCGTATAAAGAAAGCGATGGATGCAATGATACGGAAAGAGAAAGTAGTAGTTGAAGTGATGGCTGGTCGATCAGTTGATCAACGTGTAGCGATTGTACAAAAGTATCAATCAATGTACAAAGAAGATTTATTTGCCAGATTTAAATCTATAACAAATGGAAATTTAAGAGAATGTTTAGTCAAGTTGTGTTATACACCAGAAGAATTTGACGCAGTAGAACTTCGTAGAGCAATGAGAGGTGTCGATACTGATGAAGATACAATCATTGAAATTCTTTGTTCGAGAACAAATGAACACATCAGAAGAATTAAACACGTATATCCAAAATGTAAGTTTTCAGTTTATGAAATCACTTTGGTTTTCTTCCACTTCACAACTCGGCTATAGTTTATGTTTATAATCCTCCATTGGACATGGCCACTACGATCACATCAGACGCTTCGATTGACTACTGTTAAAATTAATAAATTTTCACTTCAACGACTATTAATTTCATTTGGAAATATTGTGAATTTTCTACTGGTGAAATGTCTAACTGCCTATACACAAGACATTACTGCCGTACTTGTTTCCCAGTTAATACAAGATTTTAATGAAGTTACTTCTATTCTCACATGAGTAGATCAGTTAACCTCGAAAACTATACTGTATACAGTTGAATAAAGTTAGATTGAGTCCAATAGAGGACTTGAGAATGCTTCAATCATTAATCGGCAGTTCTATGTTATATTTCAGATATGAAATCACATGCTCAACCGATTTAATGTTGATGACTCAATAATAAATAGCCTGTCATATTGTATTTGCATTCTCATTGACTTGATCAATCATTCATTCATTCATTCATTCATTCATTCATTCTTCGAAAGAGCACTCATCAACTTAGGGTTTCTCATGTATATTTTGTTTACACTTGTCAGTGTGAGAGAAAATGTTGATATCATTGAAGAACATTATTCTTTGTTAAAGCTAGTAGATAGCATCAGATTTTCGCAGGACACGTGGGAAATTCGGAATATCAAGGTCATACAATATCAACTTGTTCAACTTTCAATTATTAGTTTAGTTGATTTATTCGTTTTATGAAAGTTATTCTCTAAGAGATCAACTGGTTGTTTCATTATTACTCATGTAAATTAGAAATTATCATTGTTTTAATTCTTAACCAATAGGTAATGTGTTGTTTATTTTGATTTCAGTATTCAATGGAAGAGATTTGGAAAATGATGCTAACAATGATATTACATATGAATTTAAACGAATATGTATAGCTTTACTACAAGCAGATAGAGATGAATTTTTATTTGTTGACGCAAATGTTGTACGAAATGATGCAGAGGAATTACGCAGAACAATGGAACTAACTATTGGAACAGATGAATCACGGTAAGTGTACAAATTACTAAACACGTACTAGTAGTATGTTTAAAGAAGCTTACACAACTTTATTGATAAGAAATTGTGTATACGTTTGAATGAATAGGTGGTGTACAGTGATTATGCGCTCGGTTAATATCAGACACTAACAAGAAGAATTATATCTGCAACAGTGTGAGTGATTGAACTTTCAGTGAATCCGTTGTTTCGTTAAGCATTCTGGTCTAAGCGTTTTCATCAAACATCAGAATTATCGAGTAAAATAAATACATGGTTCACTGGTTCACCAGTGGGGACTAAACAACTCATCTAGTCATGCTAATGACGCTGGAAGAGAGATTTGTTGGGGTGCACATGGGATGTTTGTTGTGAGTGAATAAGCAAAGCAAAGCAAAGAGTGTCAGGATAATAGTTGTATGAGTAAGTGGATTTGATTTGAGAACAACTTTCAATGATTACACATCGATTGATTCGTGAGTTTTGATGAAATCAGATAATTTCATCGATAATGCGAATCAGGTGTGTGTATGTATAAAATGTTCGTGTCATTGATGTGTGGTAGGTAGTGAAAATAAATGCATTGATCCTACTAACTTTTAAGGATTCATAAACCTGTTTCAAGCACAGATTGTGTGTGCTGCCTCACTCTCATATTCAGCTGTCTTTAAGATCTTACCTACGTATATAGCATGAGAGTCATTACATTCGATCTCATCTACACAATTCTATTGTTCTTCTTTTCGTTTGAACTCTTTCATTCTCTCACTAGTTTGCAGTTGGGAATATCAGTCAAATTGGCAAATCATTGTTTATTTTAAGTGTGTATGACACCGTTTAGCTAAAGCCGACCTTTTCAAAATCATTACTGCTCTTTGAATATGATCGGTGTATTTAGAGTGTGATTATTGTGAACTTGATTGAACTGATCGAATTATTCAAGCATACTCTATGCATAAATCAAAATACATTGGATTCCATCAAATCCATTTGATACAGTGAGTAAAGAGTTAGACAGTAGTGACATTGAAATTCAGTACACATTCTACTAAGTCAGTTATATTTTATACTTTTGACAAGTAAATCAATTCCACCATAATGCCACAGTGCCACCTGTGAAACAATGTCCGACTAAATAAACATCACCATCCAACAATTAACAATCAGTTTGATGCAACAAATAACATCGTTTCTCAACAAATGCCTAAACTTTCATTCGTTTACTTAATTTACCTACTATGTATACTAGATTGATTGCTATCTTCGCTACAAGATCCTATGCTCATTTACGAGCTGTATTTACTGAATATAAACGAATTGGTAAATATACTTTGGAAGATGCGTTAAAATTCCAAATGCCTGGACGTACATTCTTCAATGTTTTACTTTCTATGGGTAAATAATGTTAAACATATTTTTGTGAAATTGTCAGTTCATTAGTTAGTATGATTTGACTGAATCTAGTTTGGAGTAAGTTGATGAATTGTATAGTTGCCTGCGAATCAACTGATAGTTATATTTCAGTTGATGTGTTGTTGGCAGTAAACTACCATGATCGCTGCAGTGGTTGATCACAGTATGATGCTTAGAATTGTGTTTGTCTGGTTCTTACAGTTGATCACAGTCTAGCGGTCAACGAGTTTTAATATGACCGACCATTAATTGAAGTAACTTCACATTGAATGCATAATGTTTGGATGTAATTTGATTGAAAGTAGTTTTGGTGAAACTTTGAACTTGCGTTCAATGCTAGAATATTTATTTGTCAGCAAGCTTTATGATTAACAGTAAGAATTAAATACAAGTAATACAAGTTATTCAGTGATCAGTCAGTGTGATTACATTGACCGCGGCTCGAATGACTCGTTGGTAACATCTGACATGCGGGTTCAAGCTATACTGGGTGTAGGGTCCTCTCGAAAATGTTGGCAAGCCTAGAGAACAAGTTTCAACTAGAACCGAATATATATAAAAACTACAAATCATTAATGAGCCTAAACCAAAACGCTGTTCATACATCTTTGCACAAAATGAATTTCCAATTAGTAAACAGTTTAATGAGTAATGCTTATTGACTCAAAAACTGATATGTTTAATTAAAGAAGAATTTAAGATTTTTACCACAGAAATATCTATCATGTTTAATATCTGATAGTTGGCTAATTCTCCATTAGGAATATTTAGTCATTTAACGGAAATGATGTATGTCCCAGTTACATAAAATAAATTTTTGATGTTGATAATGTTCGATAATAAACATTAGAAAAAATCTTTTTTGGAAAATAATGATCATCAATTCTAATTTGACTTGACAAATATTGTATGATTTGAATTTCATTTCAGTTTGTTGTATACAAAATAGACGGAAATATTTTGCAATGAAATTATTCACAGCTATGCAATGTGCTGAAACAGTTGACAAAGCACTTATTCGTATTGTTATATCACGTTGTGAAGTGGATATACAAAACATTATTTTGAATGTTTTGTTTTCTGGAAAATCCCTCCATGTGTGTATATTTGTGTTATGATATGACTGACTCTTTCTGTTGACATTTTGGTATTTTATTTGATTCCATTTTGAGATTTTACCATTGTATATTGTTATTATTTCTATATTTTGTACTTATATCGAAGTTTTTATGTTTGTTTCTGAACTGTACATATGTTGTTTAAATTTGATATTTAATATGGCTACAGTCATATTTGGATTTGATACCGAGGCAGTTAATACTAGTATCACTTATTCGTTTGGACACGGATACCCATCAGGGTAATTTTGGACTTGGAAGGTGTATTAATTGTCAGGTATTTGTTTGTATTTCTATTTTACCATAATATAGACCACTTTCTCTTAGAATTATTGTGTTCTGATATTGGACTATGGGAGGGCGCGTTCGACCTGCACCTACTGGAATCAAAGTGAACTGCTACGGTAGAAAATTCATCTACATAGGGATCCGGCACCGGGTACTGGTCCTGGTCATAAAATGTCACACAATGCGTATTTATACATTCACGTGAAAGTGGCAGTTAAGACGACCAATAAGAAACAACATTTGAAGTGACATTGAAATTCACGATGGCCAATCAGAAACAACATTGGAGCACGTGACATTGATATCTTGCACCATCATAAAATGGACCAGTAGAAATTAACTAATACGAATAGACCTTAAATTCTCTTAGGATATTGGATATTGAATATCCTAACAATATAGCAATATAACAAAAACATGACATTTTCATAATGGACAAAATGTAAAAGAGTAGACTACAGTAAATCAGTAAGTATGAACAATATTTTCTTCTTACAATACAATTTATATTCAAGCAACAGAATATTTTAATTTAATCAAAATAATTACAGTCATTGAATACACTTTCAATAACACTTAATCATAAGTTCTGACGAATTAAGTCATTTATTGTTACTTTTGTCGACTTTATTCAATCTACGTAAATAACTGATAATGCAGTTAAAGCAAAGATTATGCTCCGATAAGCCTCAGTAACAGACGACGATATTGAATTGGCGTTTTATCACAGTAAAATCGAGCATCGCACGGATTATTACTCTTCGATATCCTTATTTCATCTTCATCTTCCAGTTGTTTACATTGAAGCTACATAAATGTTGAAGTTTTGAAACAGACAAATTTAGAAAATTGATCACAGGATTTTACTAAGCTAATGGCATATTATTAATCATTGATACAAACAATCGGGATAATTTAATCATAATAAAGACCGATTGAAGCTAGTACAAAGCTAATACAAAATGTGCGTATCATTCAAAATTGTTCAGTTATTATCAATGAGGCATCTGGAACAAACATATCAAAATAACTCTAACTTGTTACAACCCACAACTCCATAGGGAATAAACATGTGAGTGAGGAAGTGGTCAAAATAAGGATCATAATTGATACTTGAAGTATGGTCAAAGAGTTTCATTGCTTTACCAAATTTGCTACAGCTAAGTCAACTGACATAATCATCAATCTAGGCAAACACGTACATGTCTATACATGATTGTTCAAGTGTCTGGCCTCCTTATAACCGTATTTGACAACACGTGAAGATCATTTGATTTGTGATAACCACTAGGTTTCTGAAACACAAAATATAACCTTGAGGTTTACGTGACCACAAAACGATGTCATGAATCTTGTGTAGTACGTCAAATGATTTCGGAGGATTTGAGAATTTGACAAGTTCCAATTGATTCCCACTCATTCGAGTGCATCAAACTAACTAACTTGCTTGTAGAGTTGTTGTAAATCTATGCGATGAGTTCAACTTTACTTACCAATATTTAGGTCTAAATTGACTGAGAAGTTGATAGAGTTGTCTATAGATTGTAAGTTTATATATATAAATATATGTTTTAGAATGTGTACGACATGAGATCGATGCTGTTCAGTGCGAAACCGGTAACATGACTTCACTGAAGATTTAATTTGAACAAATATATAAGAAGTTACTTCTTATTGGAACATAGTTTGCATCCGAAGAAGCATGCATTCCAAGTTCTTATTATATCTTTTCCACTCAGTGATGACACAACAGACACCAACTAATCAATCTCAAATGTTTTAAGTACTTTAACAACTCATTCTGTTCACAACCACTTATTGGGTGAATAGTAGTCGTCTAAACTTCATGGATGTGGTTTGAAACCCTACTCCATTATGTCATTGCTGACCAGTTCAGTGATTGTGTTTTTCCTGTAGTCGACGGTAACTGATGCAACAGACTTAACTCTGAACAAATTCGTTTGCCAAAGTAAAACTCATGACTCTTGAAACTTCAGCTTCAGTTGTGGGGCAGTCAGTCAAGTTTGTCAATTTAAGAGTTTGTTAGCAACTTATTTCTTCGTGAAATCCCTATTGAAGTTACGGTGAATAACATTACGTTGAATATTCTTTCTAACCGTAATGACAATTGGATGTTACTTTGAAGAATGTAAACTAGTCAAATTGTTGTCAGGTGAGTGTGGAGTGTATTTCTTACTTTGAGATAGTGGAACTAATTTAATCACAACAACTGGTCAAAGGTTACACACAATCTATTCAAATAAAAGTTTACATAACTGTCAGACTCTCTCGGTTCATTTGTAGACAGTGTGATTTCCACTTTCATTCAACTATGTGTACAGGATTATTGTAATTACAAATGGTCGATAAAATGTATTGCCATCGTCAAATGTAGCCATCGTCAATCAACATGGATCACTCACTTCACAACACATTATTCAATGGAACAGGAATAGAATTAATAAGTAGCTATTGTTGTTCACAACTTGTTAAACACTCGTCACATAGAAAGAAATGTTTCCAACTATTTCTGACGTTGCTTATCTGACATTCGAATCATTTCATAGTAACCAAATCAGCACTATCTATAAGTAGTCATCTTTATTGATCGATAGAGCACCGGCCGATGAGTATGGTGAGTAAATAGTCTACCGACATATAAGTCAACATCTTTAAGGCAACTTTTCATCGATACTTAGAATTCCACTCGAATTCTGAACAAATTTTCTATACTAATTCATTAGAATATACCTAGTTATTGAAAGATCCTTGTAATCCAGTGACATAGTGATACGTACTGTGAATACCGAATGTCAGAGTAGTTAATTTACTAACCTCAATGACTTCATAACACATTCAACAATCCAAAAATAAGTTTGAAACTCTGGTTCAAATAAATAAATAATTATCAATTATGATTTATCATGAAAATGACCAATAATAATAATTATAATAACAATAACACTTTCATGTAACAAATGCATCGATGATAGTGATGATGCAGTGAAATGGTCACAAAAATTCACAGTCAATCAATATTATTATTATTATTATTATTATTATTTAATACTTACTTCTAAACATTCCTTTAGTGATTTTCCATTTAAGCTGTCAAATTCATTGAGAATTTGTTTCATATCAATTTCACAACGAGAAATAATAATACGCATCATCACTGTATTATCATTTATTCCAGTAGATTTCATTATGTTCCATAATTTCGTTGCAAAATATTTCGGTCTGTTTTGTATACAACAAACTGAAATGATATTTCAATCAGTTTGTATGTACATAAATCAATCAAATGAACACTGTTCGCTCATATCACACACACACACACACACAGTTAAGTAGATAGAGAAAATTGAACAATTTCACTTTACAATAAATTTCACTAAGAAATCTAATGTATAATGAATTGTAGTTAACCTTGTGCAAAAGTATTTCAGCTTTGTTGATATGCACAATGATATTATTCACAATGTTAGTTCACTTAGACTATTGACTACACTGAAAGTTATTGTGCAATAGAATTCTATCAACACTAAACATTTTACAAAATAACATTGATCACTACATAGTAAGTAACCAGTTAGTGTTAAGTAGACTTTTACATTAATACCATATTTCTTCGAATCCTGCTAATAGCAGGAGTCGTGTGAGTGCACACTGTTCATGAGCCTCATTCCATCATCAAACGGCTGTCCAATGATTTCAGTTTTCCAATGCTGGTCTAACATTGATCGACTCATGATTTCCAAAAGTCACTCAACAATCTCCACAATCCCATAATGCAAGTTAAATACCATTTGATTAAAATCACAAATCGATCAATGTTAGACCAGCATCAGAAACCGGAAAGTGACAAGACGGCCTATTTTGGCGTCAGCAATGTGTATTCACAACTCGGCATACAAAAACGCTCAACTTTGAGACAACAAAGTCACCACCATGTAACAGGGTTCATGATATCACACGACACACATCTATCAATTTATCTTTTGATTCAACTGTCAAATGATGATACAAATCATCAACTAATTGAAAATTAGATTAAGTCAACTTAATTAATTAATGAATTAATCAACTCATGATTCTGTTGAATAAATCACGCGTAACAATACTCACCCACCTATGGAAAGTAAACAACTCAGTGTAGGTTCATGCATGTTCGATTTTAAATCCTCTTCCATATTACATTCACCAAGTGTTGAATATTCATTGAATACAGCTCGTAAATGAACATACGATCGTCTAGTCAAGATGGGAATTAATCTAATTTGTATAGATATTACAAAAAAAATTAAAACAACTAATTTTTACCAACTTGTTTGTTTATTCAGTAAATCAATAATGTATTGTGAGTTCTTTTCACATCATGAAACTGTAGTGATTTACTTTTACGAAGAAAACACAACTGGTGAAATATAAACATTAATTATTTTACTTAATTCTGACAATTAATGTGATATTGTACACCTTTTGTTTATCTATCTGTACAAAAGACTATCTCTCGCACGCCAAACGTGTTATTCCCATTCTCCACTTCTTCGAACGTCTCCTGAGTGGACGTACGTAAGCTGTTTGTACACCCTCCTGCCTCGATATTATTACGATATCCTGAGGCCAGTATCAAATATACCTCTTCCAGTACAATCTATTTCTTATTCGACTCTCAGAGTTCCTTCAGTAACATTTGTTATCCCGCGAACAAGTATATCGTACAAATTGCTATAAAACTGATACAAACATACGAAGTATTGATTGCGATTAATTTGCTACAATCTGAACTATATATTTCATGGTATTATTATTATTACTCTATGATTTTCATTCACAATAAAATTGCATGTTTTCCACTGGTGATTTGCTAGATGGTCTTAACAAACGTCAGTAATAAATGTGTATGATGAAATAGTTCAAATCTAAACATTGTCCAATAGCAAACTTGTGATCAAAAGCTACATCTACACACACTGAAGTTATTGATTACAACAATTTATGGAAAACGTTTTGTTTACGAAATTCACAAACTAAGTGAAAGAGCAATATAAGAATCATTAATCATACTGGTACCTATTCGGAAAACTAGTTTGTCGAGGATACTTAACAGATATACTTGTTTAGTTATTTAAAGCTCTACAGATCGAATCGTATGACAGTAGCTCATTTGTATTGATCTTGTTTGGGTATTAGTTAGCTCGCCTTAACTGTCTATCTAGTATCAATGGTCTTTGGTTAACCAATGACATGCTGATGTGTAACAATAGTCAAGGATAAAACTAAGTGAATAATGGTGCAGAATAAAGTTTCACACGATTACCCGCTCGATATCCGGAATGGAAAACCAATCAAGAAGCGAATAACTCCTGGTTATATTCATATCATAATATAAGATACAATCCTGACTACATATCAATAGAATCAAACAGTTATAACATGTGCATAAACACACTGTTAGTGGAACAGAACACAGTAGTGATAGGTCCGTAGTAAATTAACAGTAATCAGTGTTAATTTTGATACTGTATCAAACAAGAACTACTTACGAGTAGGAGATTACAAATAAATGATAGTTTGATTAATTAACAATTACTAAATAACTATCACAATTATTATTCATTATCATTAATTCTACAACAACAAAAAATCTCAAATATCTTCAGTTTGTGACTCTCCGAATGTTAGTCCTTCACGTAATATTTATCCGCACATGGCAAAAAAAACACACTTACTTTGATTCATCCATTCCACCATGTTGATTCACCACTGTAAATAATTCTTCCGCATCGCTTCGTACAACATTTCCATTTACAAATGGAAATTCATCTCTATCCGCTTTCAGTAAAGCTATACATATGCGTTTAAAAGGATGCACAGTGTCATTGTTGGCATCGTTTTGTAAATCACGTCCATAGAATACTGTAATGAAATAATAATAATAAACAAACATAGATCATATACATGTAAAAAGTGAACAAATGCTTCTTTGTTTACATGTCCCAACCACCTCAACTGCTGAAGTTTCATCACTTCATCTATTGATCTGCCATTCTTACCTAGCACCCGTTTCCTAATAACAGCGTTGCTCACTCGGGTGTCCCACGATATACGAGCAATGCTTCGAAGACACCTATGATCGAAAACCAGTAACCTACGAATATCTTCTACTCTCACTGGCCATGTTTCACAGCTATAAAATAAGACGGAGCGAACTACTGCACAGTACACTCGTCCTTTAGTCAGCAAACGGATATCTCGCCTAAGCCATAAGTGACGCAGGTTGGCAAAAGCCAATCGAGCCTTCTGTATCCGAGCTGAGATTTCGTCAGTCACCAGGCCATCGGCACTGATGAGACTCCCAAGATAAGTGAAGCGGTCTACTCGCTCGACTACTTCACTCCCTATCACTAGTTCAGGTGCCGAAGCAACCCAGTCTTGAAGTAACATTTTGCATTTCGGGGGGGAGGAAAACGGCATCCCGAACATGCTTGCATTGTTGCTTAGGGTGGTCAGAAGAATCTGCATTTTGTCAGCGTCTTCACCAAGTAGGACTATGTCATCGGCATATTCTAAGTCAATAAGCGATTTTCCTGGTAGAAGGTCAACCCCTGAAAAATCTGACGAGCTTAATGTTAATTCTAAGAGGATGTCTACGAGAAAGTTGAACAAGAATGAAGAGAGTGGACAGCCCTGACGGACACCACTTGATGTAGAGAATTCGGATGACAGTTCGCCATAAGCCCTCACTTGACCAGTGGTGTTCGAGTAGAGAGCTTGTATGAGGTTAATGTACTTCTTTGGTACACCTATCAATGACAGACACTGCCACAGAACCTCACGATCCACTGAGTCAAATGCCGCCTTAAGGTCCAGGTTAGCAAATATTGTAGGACACCTAAATGTGTGTCTGTGTTCCAGAACTTGTCGTGATGTGAAAATGTGGTCTATACAACCACGTCCAGGTCGAAAACCAACCTGGTTTTCTCTACTCTGCTCTTCACGAGCTTTCGTTAAGCGTCGAAGTATTACTGATGCCAATGTTTTAGATACTATATGAGTTAGACTTATTCCCCTGTGATTGTCACAAGAAGACTTTTGTCCTTTCTTATAGATTGGGACAATCAGTGATTGAGACCACTCGGATGGGATTACGTCCAGTTCCCAGATTCTACCTAAGATCTCAGTCAACCTAGCTGCTAAAACTGGACCACCATCCTTAAATATCTCAGGGGTCAGTCTATCAGGACCTGCAGCTCGTCCTCGTTTCAGATTTCCTAACGCTCTCTCAACTTCATGTAGACTAGTGGGAATTAAGTCGATTTGCCATTCAGGATGACTGAAGATCGTGGGTAAACGAAGAGTAGCTCGACGACAGTTGAACTGATCCCTAAAGTGTTCTGCCCATCGGTCCAGTCTCCTAGATTGAGAGTGGATATTAAGACCATCCTTTTTCGAAATAGTCACACTCACATTTGGCTTCCTAATACCAGTTTACTTGATGAGTCTAAATAGTTACCTACTCCGCTCCTCATCGCACTCAGAGCCAGGCGGGATGAGTTTTCTTGCACCCATCAGTTCGGTAGATGCTACGGAGATCCATGGCTTCATCCCAGCCTTATGGTTTACCTAACTAGCAGATATCACTGCTGTTTCCACAGCCGTTTTGATATCATTCCAACCTGCCTCAGGATGGGATCCGCTTAAGTGGTCGCCTAACTCTCTTTCTAATTGCTCCTGAAATATTTTCTTAGCTTGATTATCATCAAGTAAAGCCCTAAGAGGTTTCCTTACGGTGTATTTCCTACGTCCAGTAATCCTCAAACAAATACGCGCTCGTACTAGGGCATGATCTGAATCTAAAAATGTGCCTTAGAACGAGCGACAGTCCTCTATCGAACCCCTCCATCGGTGGCTGATGGCAATGTGATCTAGTTGGGTCCAATGTTGAGACGATTTCGGGGATCGCCAGGTCAACAGAAGTTTTTCCTTATGCCTAAACTTAGTGTTTGCTAGGATTAGGCGGTTATCTGAGCATACTTGCAACAGACGGTCGCCATGGTCTGTTTTCTAAGCCGCGACACCATAACATCCACCTAGATGTCTTTCCTGATTTCAAACAAAACCAAAATCAGGATTTTCAATACAAATGTCAAGACAGTTCTACTGTATGGAGTGGAAACTTGGAGAACTACCAAAGCCATCATCCACAAGATACAAGTGTTTATTAACAGTTGTCTACGCAAAATACTTCGTATTCGTTGGCCAGACACCATCAGCAACAACGAACTGTGGGAGAAAACAAACCAGATTCGAGTGGAGGAGGAAATCAGGAAGAAGCGGTGGAAGTGGATAGGACACACATTGCGGAAAGCACCTAACTGCGTCACGAGACAAGCCCTCACATGGAACCCTCAAGGCAAAAGGAAAAGAGGAAGGCCAAAGAATACATTACACCGAGAAATAGAGAAAGATATGAGAGGAATGACCAAACATTGGACAGAACTGGAGAAGGAAGCCCAGGACAGAGTTGGTTGGAGAAAACTGGTGAGCGGCCTATGCTCCATTGGGGGTAACAGGCGTAAGTAAGTAAGTAAGTAAGTAAGTAAGATGTCTTTCCTGCTCACTTAGTCTACCTACTTGAGCATTGAAGTCAACAGCCATTATTACTATAGCAGAGCGCCTAGCTATTTGGAGGAGGTCCCAAAGCTTTCTGTAAAACTCATCTTTAACCTCGTCTGAACTGCAGTCAGTGGGGGCATAGGCAGATACGACGAAGAGACAACGACGGGTGTCCCTATCTTTCCGAGACCTTACTGTCCCGTTTAGTCGGACAGCGCACAAGCAACTATCTACTGGGATCCAGTCTAGGAGCGCTAGTTGTGCTCTACGACTCATCGCTATACCTACGCCAGCAAGACCCCTGGAAGCAGCATCAGGGCTACCGGATACACGAAGAGTAAATCGAGCTGCTTCTTTATTTTCACAAGGTGAAATCAGATTAATAATTTTACGGGGATACTGTATGCGCATTTCCAAGACGCAGCATACATCGATGGCACGAGATTCTAAAGTCCTAGCTAAGGAAGACTGTTGCCCTACTTGACACAATGTCCGTACATTAAAAGCTCCAACATGTAGTCTAGAACGGGTTTTCAAGAGACCAGGAATGACGCTTCAAGAACTCGCTCCGTTAACATTAGCGGTGCAGCGAGATAAGGGAATGTGAGTAGAGTTAGTTGTAGAGAGAAGAGAGGTATGTGTGGGTGTAGGAAGGATTTGATTTCGACCGATTTGGTCTCGTGAGCTGTTACGGGTATGAAGGCAGTTGTGACTTCCCGGCTGCTCACACCGTGGAAGGTTGTTTCTTGAGGGACCTGAAAAGGAAGATAGATTAGTGTTGGTCTTAGAGACCTGGTTGCGTGACCGCAGAGTCCAAGGGACAATTGCTTGAGGCCAGTCACACACGGCCTTTTTATGAAAGGTATTTTGAGTGTTAGCTCCGTTCTTAAAGGCCCTTAGTGGGCACCCTTACCCAAGGAGACGGAAATCCGTGAGTTAGGGGAGGTGTGACATTTTTAGGGCCGACCTTTTCTAACCCTTCCTTAATTGTGAGAAGGCAGCATCGCTGCAGATACTGGTAGTCCACGGGAAACACCTTACTGCTGTAAAACCTCTCTGCAGTCAGCAAAACGACTTCGCCCTCAGACCTTTAGTAGCTGCTTTTAGTCTCATCGTTCTGCAATCGATCTGACTGTCATGGTAGAACCTTCAGGAACATAAGTTCCAGCCAATATAGCTTGGTTCGGTCATCACGATAGACAAGCCCTACCACTACATCAAGGTAGCAGCTACGGTCGTAAAATTAGTTACAATAATATATGTTTCTATTAAACCAACTGCGTTCTCTTCATAAAAGTGGATTCACTACAGTTGAAATTAGTTAGTCACAGTAAATCGTTCTATTTACCCAGTTTCGTTGTGCATAATTCACAACAATCTTCATTGTGCAGACAAATACCAAAATCGTTTTCATGATTTCACAAATTAATTACTTACATTTTGGATATACCTGTTTAATTCTTCTGATGTGTTCATTTGTTCTCGAACAAAGAATTTCAATGATTGTATCCTCATCAGTATCGACACCTCTCATTGCTCTACGAATTTCGATTGCATCGAATTCTTCTGGTGTATAACACAACTTGACTAAACAATCAATTAAACATCCTTTTGATTCAAATGAAAATCTTGCAGATAAATCTTCTTTGTACATTGATTGATACTTTTGTACAATCGCTACACGTTGATCAACAGATCGACCACCCATTATTGCAATGATTCTTTCATAGTATACAAACATACCAATAGATCTCTCTAAACATTCAGCATCATCTTCAGCACAGAAATGCGTTTCAGGTGTAAGAGTTGGCTCCATCTAACATCAAGTGAAAGGATATTGATAGATAAATCAGGTGTTGGGTTGTTTTAATTTAATGGTGTTGACATATATATGAAATTAGTATTGTTTACTTAAAATTATTTCTAACGTATTTCAGTGAAATGACTCTAGAATAATGTGAAATCAGCATGACAGTACAGTGACATATTTTAGATAAGTTTTTCAAGTTGTATGAGTTGTTTAAATGATTCACATATTATTTATCAACCGTTTTTCAAACTCAGAATTCACTCAATCCACTTTTCTTATTCATCATCATTACAGTAATAATAGTGATATTTTCTTACTTACTTACTGAATGACCTTCAATTCAGACATTGCATTATTGATTAGTTAACGAATATCATCATCCATGGATCTTAACACCTATTGTGATGCGCACTACTCATAAGTAGTTTATGACGCGAGTGGAAACATTATGTCTGGCAGAAGAAGATGGGGGGAGATCAAGAAAGGAAGAGTGGGAGCACAATGGAATTTGTATGAAACGCATGAATAGTGAAATGTCACACAATGGATTGATGATGGATTGAAGATTTGCAAATTAACCGTTTACGATATGGTTTTCCTATTTAATTGAGTAACTCTGTAATTTTCGATAAATACAATTCGGTTGCCCTCACCTGTGTTCTCCTTTACTGCACTATGACAAACCTCTTATTATAAAATAATATTCAGTAGACCAACTAACTACTATCTTGTAAATTTTAATTTCATGTGACTATTAACTATGAGTTAAGAAATCAATGACAGCACAATCATATCGGCACAGTTAGGTTTACTTGAAAGAATCCCACTGAAACTTCTCATCAACATTAAAACAACTCTTCAAATCTGCACCCAGTCACTCCGTATACTTATTTATTTAATAAAATCATGCATATCAACCTTATCAAACCTTGTTTATGCTTTTATGTTCAACATTCCTTCACGTTTTATCAGTTACCACAAATCTGAGCATATGGAAATGTGCAGACTGAAGTTTGTGTACAACACCAGCTTTCAAAAATTACCAGGATAATAAGTTGTCAATAGTAAGTAATTAAAGCATTCCTAGCCTACATACTTTTCCAGTAAATTAAATTTCAGTTTGGACTCCACAATTACACACGAACAATTAATTGACAGAGTAAAAATCACAAAATGATTTACAAAGTTATTCGGATGAAATGAATTTATGAGAATAGCAACAACAAATACAACATACTATATCTTCGGGTGGGACTGATTCAGTAAATCCAAATAATCTGAAAGTTCTTGCAATATCATTCCATTGACATGTTGAAGGAGTAGGAAATTCGGTAAATATTGAATTTGTGTATACTGGATTCGAGTTTACTGGGTCGCTGTGAAAAGAACATTCACTTGATGGTATAGATGGCAGATTATTTGTCTGAGCATTTTGTGCACTGGGATTTCCGGCAAGATAAAAAACACTTTGCATATAACATCCATAATCCATCTTCAATGAAGCTGTACCTGGTAAATATAATTGGTTGGATTCAATGACGTCACATGGAAGATTGATACAATCTTGTTGCCTTGAAAGTAGGTCAGTTGCAAAATCACCAGGTACACTGCATGGTGTATTATTAGAGCTTGTACCTGACTGTCCAGAAGACTCACACGACATTAGTCCTATTTTACCTTCCACACATTCAGCTATGTTTGAATTTGTTGAGCCTTGTGTGGATAAACAAGTATATTATTTTGTATGTTTACTCACTTGGATAATTTGCATTAGTTTGTTGATGGTCGTTTGAATTATTATTAGTTACTGAGAGATGAGAGAATCCAAATCCATTCGTCAATTTGATATACTTAGAATGAGAATGAATGGTATCGCGAAGCTGACAATAAATTGAATTTTTTCTCGTGAAGGTCACTAATGCAACGAGCTGATTGGCCAAAATGAAAATGTTACTGTAAAAATGATAGGTTGAGTTAACCAGAACAAATAAAATCTAGACTTCATTCACAATGTCGACAGATTTCATGGCTGAACGGAAATACACTTTTCACATATCTCAAGTATGTGTACTGGTCCTGGTCATAAAATGTCACACAATGCGTATTTATACATTCACGTGAAAGTGGCAGTTAAGACGACCAATAAGAAACAACATTTGAAGTGACATTGAAATTCACGATGGCCAATCAGAAACAACATTGGAGCACGTGACATTGATATCTTGCACCATCATAAAATGGACCAGTAGAAATTAACTAATACGAATAGACCTTAAATTCTCTTAGGATATTGGATATTGAATATCCTAACAATATAGCAATATAACAAAAACATGAATGACATTTTCATAATGGACAAAATGTAAAAGAGTAGACTACAGAAAATCAGTAAGTATGAACAATATTTTCTTCTTACAATACAATTTATATTCAAGCAACAGAATATTTTAATTTAATCAAAATAATTACAGTCATTGAATACACTTTCAATAACACTTAATCATAAGTTCTGACGAATTAAGTCATTTATTGTTACTTTTGTCGACTTTATTCAATCTACGTAAATAACTGATAATGCAGTTAAAGCAAAGATTATGCTCCGATAAGCCTCAGTAACAGACGACGATAATGAATTGGCGATTTATCACAGTCGGGATAATTTAATCAGAATAAAGACCGATTCAAGCTAGTACAAAACTAATACAAAATGTGCGTATCATTCAAAATTGTTCAGTTATTATCAATGAGGCATCTGGAACAAACATACCAAAATAACTCTAACTTGTTACAACCCACAACTCCATAGGGGATAAACATGTGAGTGAGGAAGTGGTCAAAATAAGGATCATAATTGATACTTGAAGTATGGTCACAGCATTTCATTGCTTTTCCAAATTTGCTACACTTAAGTCAACTGGCATAATCATCAATGTAGACAAACACGCACATGTCTATACATCATTGTTCAAGTGTCTAGCCTCCTTATAACCGTATTCGAAAACACGTAAAGATCATTCGATTTGTGATTACCACTAGGTTTCTGAAACACAAAATATGACCTTGAGGTTTACGCGACCACAAAACGATGTCATGAATCTTGTGTAGTACGTCAAATGATTTCGGAGGAATTTGAGAATTTTACAAGTTCCAATTTATTCCCACTCATTCGAGTGCATCAAACTAACTAAATTGCTTGTAGAGTTGTTGTAAATCTATGCGATGAGTTCAACTTTACTTACCAATCTTTAGGTCTAAGTTGACTGAGAAGTTGATAGAGTTGTCTATAGATTGTAAGTTTATATATATAAATATATGTTTTAGAATGTGTACGACATGAGATCGATGCTGTTCAGTGAGAAACCGGTAACATGACTTCACTGAAGATTTAATTTGAACAAATAAATAAGAAGTTACTTCTTATTGGAACATAGTTTGCATCCGAAGGAGCATGCATTGCAAGTTCTTATTATATCTTTTCCACTCAGTGATGACACAACAGACACCAACTAATCAATCTCAAATGTTTTAAGTACTTTAACAACTCATTCTGTTCACAACCACTTATTGGGTGAATAGTAGTCGTCTAAACTTCATGGATGTGGTTTGAAACCCTACTCCATTATGTCATTGCTGACCAGTTCAGTGATTGTGTTTTTCCTGTAGTCGACGGTAACTGATGCAACAGACTTAACTCTGAACAAATTCATTTGCCAAAGTAAAACTCATGACTCTTGAAACTTCAGCTTCAGTTGTGGGGCAGTCAGTCAAGTTTGTCAATTAAAGAGTTTGTTAGCAACTTATTTCTTCGTGAAATCCGTATTGAAGTTACGGTGAATAACATCACGTTGAATATTCTTTCTAACCGTAATGACAACTGGATGTTACTTTGAAAAGTGTAAACTAGTCAAATTGTTGTCAGGTGAGTGTGGAGTGTATTTCTTACTTTGAGATAGTGGAACTAATTTAATCACAACAACTGGTCAAAGGTGACACCAATCTATTCAAATAAAAGTTTACATAACTGTCAGACTCTCTCGGTTCATTTGTAGACAGTGTGATTTCCACTTTCATTCAAATGGTCGATAAAATGTATTGCCATCTTTCTAGCCATCGTCAATCAACATGGATCACTCACTTCACAACACATTATTCAACGGAAACAGGAACAGAATTAATAAGTAGCTATTGTTGTCCACAACTTGTTAAACACTTGTCACATAGAAAGAAATGTTTCCAACTATTTCTGACGTTGCTTATCTGACATTCGAATCATTTCATAGTAACCAAATCAGCACTATCTATAAGTAGTCATCTTTATTGATTGATAGAGCACCGGCCGATGAGTATGGTGAGTAAATAGTCTACGGACATATAAGTCAACATCTTTAAGGCGACTTTTCATCAATACTTAGAATTCTACTCGAATTCTGAACAAATTTTCTATACTAATTCATTAGAATATACCTAGTTATTGAAAGATCCTTGTAATCCAGTGATATGGTGATACGTACTGTGAATACCGAATGTCAGAGTAGTTAATTTACTAACCTCAATGACTTCATAACACATTCAATAATCCAAAAATAAGTTTGAAACTCTGGTTCAAATAAATAAATAATTATCAATTATGACTTATCATGAAAATGACCAATAATAATAATAATAACACTTTCATGTAACAAATGCATCGATGATAGTGATGATGCAGTGAAATGGTCACAAAAATTCACAGTCAATCAATATTATTGTTATTATAATTATTATTATTATTTAATACTTACTTCTAAACATTCCTTTAGTGATTTTCCATTTAAGCTGTCAAATTCATTGAGAATTTGTTTCATATCAATTTCACAACGAGAAATAATAATACGCATCATCACTGTATTATCATTTATTCCAGTAGATTTCATTATGTTCCATAATTTCGTTGCAAAATATTTCGGTCTGTTTTGTATACAACAAACTGAAATGATATTTCAATCAGTTTGTATGTACATAAATCAATCAAATGAACACTGTTCGCTCATACCACACACACACACACACACAAAGTTAAGTAGATAGAGAAAATTGAACAATTTCACTTTACAAATAAGTTTCACCAAGAAATCTAATGTATAATGAATTATAGTTAACCTTGTGCAAAAGTATTTCAGCTTTGTTGATATGCACAATGATATTATTCATAATGTTAGTTCACTTAGACTATTGACTACACTGAAGTTTGTTGTGTAATAGAATTCTATCAACACTAAACATTTTACAAAATAACATTGATCACTACATAGTAAGTAACCAGTTAGTGTTAAGTAGACTTTTACATAAATACCATATTTATTCGAATCCTGCTAATAGCAGGAGTCGTGTGAGTGCACACTGTTCATGAGCCTCATTCCATCATCAAACGGCTGTCCAATGATTTCAGTTTTCCAATGCTGGTCTAACATTGATCGACTCATGATTTCCAAAAGTCACTCAACAATCTCCACAATCCCATAATGCAAGTTAAATACCATTTGATTAAAATCACAAATCGATCAATGTTAGACCACCATCAGAAACCGGAAAGTGACAAGACGGCCTATTTTGGCGTCAGCAATGTGTATTCACAACTCGGCATACAAAAACGCTCAACTTTGAGACAACAAAGTCACCACCATGTAACAGGGTTCATGATATCACACGACACACATCTATCAATTTATCTTTTGATTCAACTGTCAAATGATGATACAAATCATCAACTAATTGAAAATTAGATTAAGTCAACTTAATTAATTAATGAATTAATCAACTCATGATTCTGTTGAATAAATCACGCGTAACAATACTCACCCACCTATGGAAAGTAAACAACTCAGTGTAGGTTCATGCATGTTCGATTTTAAATCCTCTTCCATATTACATTCACCAAGTGTTGAATATTCATTGAATACAGCTCGTAAATGAACATACGATCGTCTAGTCAAGATGGGAATTAATCTAATTTGTATAGATATTACAAAAAAAAATTAAAACAACTAATTTTTACCAACTTGTTTGTTTATTCAGTAAATCAATAATGTATTGTGAGTTCTTTTCACATCATGAAACTGTAGTGATTTACTTTTACGAAGAAAACACAACTGGTGAAATATAAACATTAATTATTTTACTTAATTCTGACAATTAATGTGATATTGTACACCTTTTGTTTATCTATCTGTACAAAAGACTATCTCTCGCGCGCCAAACGTGTTATTCCCATTCTCCACTTCTTCGAACGTCTCCTGAGTGGACGTACGTAAGCTGTTTGTACACCCTCCTGCCTCGATATTATTACGATATCCTGAGGCCAGTATCAAATATACCTCTTCCAGTACAATCTATTTCTTATTCGACTCTCAGAGTTCCTTCAGTAACATTTGTTATCCCGCGAACAAGTATATCGTACAAATTGCTATAAAACTGATACAAACATACGAAGTATTGATTGCGATTAATTTGCTACAATCTGAACTATATATTTCATGGTATTATTATTATTACTCTATGATTTTCATTCACAATAAAATTGTATGTTTTCCACTGGTGATTTGCTAGATGGTCTTAACAAACGTCAGTAATAAATGTGTATGATGAAATAGTTCAAATCTAAACATTGTCCAATAGCAAACTTGTGATCAAAAGCTACATCTACACACACTGAAGTTATTGATTACAACAATTTATGGAAAACGTTTTGTTTACGAAATTCACAAACTAAGTGA